GAGCTCGGGCTATCAGCACTGCTAACTGTCGGCTTGCAGATTCAGGGTGCCAGTACCTATTTAGCTTGCATTGGTTTGGGCTGAGAGGTTGCTGTAGTCATCGTACGGGCAGAGGCCTTGTGGTAATGACTATGGTGTCGACGACACTACACTGCTTCACAAGTAGTAAGAGCTGGATGATGATGCAGAACAGGAGGAGGACGAAGAGGAGGAGGAGGAGGAGGAGGAGGAGGAGGATCATTGCCAATGGCATTACCGAGTTCTGGGCATGGAAATCGGATCACGAAAATTTGCCATTGATGTCACCAAGAAACCCAGAAGAGATCAAAGAAGCATACCTGATAGAAAACTAATTTCCACAAGTGGGTGGGTTTCATCATTCGCGTGATAAGTGCTGCTTACTGGGTAGTAGAGTTTGACATGTTGTATTGTCACTCTCACAGCGCTAATGGTGACGATGGCGATGGGGACGGTTACTCGGGTCGTTGTGTTTCTTGTGGACAGTAGTGGCCTGTGGACTTCTCCTTGTGTTATTGGTGCTGGTCGAAGGACAGAAGCGTTCAGGTTTCCGGCAAGAGGTTGAGGGCAACTTCGGTTCCTACATTCTCCCAGATTCTTGCTGTGCAGGCCTCGGTCGGCGACTTCCTCCAAAGATTCCAGCTGGAAAGGACATCAGGCCCCGTCCACAGTACCTACCTGTCTGTAGATTTATGCACATACTTCTCCAGTTATACACACGTAGAAACATGGAGACGGACCTGCTAGAGCACTAGATCTGCTACCTACTTTGGATATGAGGAGACTTCTCTCGGGAGAGCTGGATCCTGCAAAGCATCGGTACTGCTATGTCGTTGTTAGTGTAATAATAATGCCGCTACCAACAACAGCTGCTAGCAGTGGCAGCTATGGCTATAGCCTGAGAGATAGTGGTCGTCGTCGTCGTTCATAGTAGGCAGTTAGTTGGGTAGTTGGTTAGTCAGTTAGTTAGTTAGTATGTTAGTCAGTTAGTAAGTCGGTTATTAGTTAGTATGTAGTTGATGTTGTTGTTGTTGTCGTAGTAATAGCTGTGCTTGTTTTTGTTGTCGGGTCGTAGTACTAGCAGTAGTAGTAGTAGTAGTAGTAGTAGTAGTAGTAGTAGTAGTAGTAGTAGTAGTAGTAGTAGTCGTCGTCGTAGTCGTAGTCGTAGTCGTAGTCGTAGTCGTAGTCGTAGTAGTCGTAGTAGTAGTAGTAGTAGTAGTAGTAGTAGTAGCAGTAGTAAAACTACTCCTACTCCTACTCCTACTACTACTACTACTACTACTCCTACTCCTACTCCTACTACTACTACTACTACTACTACTACTACTACTACTACTACACTACTACTACTACTACTACTACTACTACTACTACTACTACTACTACTACTACTACTACTACTACTACTACTACTACTACTACTACTACTACTACTACTACTACTACTACTACTCCTGCTGCTGCTGCTACTACTACTACTACTACTACACTACTATCACTACTACTTGTTGTTGTTGTTGTTGTTGTTGTCGTGGCGGTGTCGGCGCCGCCTGCTGCCGCAGTGTTGGTGTTGGTGTTGGTAGTAGTGGTAGTATCGGCGTGCACCAAGCCAGGACAACTCGCCCAATGCTACGCGATCTTTGTCGCCGGAGGAGGATCCAATACTCAGTTAGATTCAGCTGAAAGGGTTGGGGGGTAGGTTCTATGCTACATGGATTCTGAGCCATGCCACCCAGCCACTGACGATGTCGTATGGCAGCGCTTGGGGGGGCCTGTGGCAAAGGCATTCCGGCTTTGAGGTAGGTATTTGTGGAACATGCGGCTGCTCACACGAGGAGTAGTCTATAGCAAGCTTCCTACCACCTGAACACCGAGAGTTCGATCCAAGCCGGAAGCTCGAAGCAATCAGATGCAAGACATCCTTGTAACATTGTCCCGCTGCAACAGGCCCACGTACACCGTTCATGTACGACGTCTCGTCAGGAAGAGCAGCAGCTTTACAGCATGGCAAGAAGCCTCCACGAGAAGGAGGAGGAAACCGTGCATAGGGGGAGCCGATCCAGAGCTGGGCTTCGCAAGAGCTTTTACGTGCTTCATTTTTTGGCGTCAGCAGTCATGCATGAGCTATTCGGACTGGTGAAGCACCAGAATGCGCAGGCGCAGTCTCTCCGTCTTCAAAGAAGCGGAGGCGCGTGTCAGAAGAGAAGCCAGCAAGTTGTGACTTATCCAACAAACTGTCCGATGCGCTAGGCTATGGTTAGGCCTTAATGCGATGAACCGCAAGGCCCTGTTTCACCGTCTCCACTTCTACTCCCATGGCTTTCAGTGGGCCGTTGACATCTTGCGGGATCTCGAAAAGACAGGACAGCACGTACACAGCTGCACTATTGAAGCATATTTACACCACCTCGGCATACTTCGGGCAGCATGTTCATCGGAACTGTCTTGCAATCGCGCTTTTCTCGTGCCTGTGCCTACGGGCCTACGGCTTTCTGCCCTACACATACTCCAAGATGCGCAAGTATGCCATAGTCACTCAGAACTTCACATCATCAGACGTTCGCTCGCCACCATCCGAAATCCTAAGATTCCCTTGCGCAGATCTGTTCTTCCCCTTCAATGACTCCAGCCGCGACTGGCCTGGACCTCAATTGACGAAGTCTCCCTTTCATGCTGGCTGCGGGGGAGGGGTTGTCGTTTGAAGCATGCCAAAATCCACAATTAGGTGCGACAGTTTGTGAGAAGCGGCACAGTTTCGGCCCCAGCTTCAACGAAGCTAAGCTTGGCGTAGACCCTGTGCAGAACTTGCACTTTCGAGTAGTCATCTGGCCCTTTGGTCTAGGAATGCGGACATCTGATGAAAGTACCTCCCAAGACCTTATGGGGATCACTGCGGTGAAAAGACAGGGCTTGACAAGTCGGGGGTCTACAGCCTACATGACCTGAGTGAGGCTGCAAGATGCTCACGGAAATCGATCGCTCCCTCCTATTCGTTTGGAGGAGCACCGTTCATGCTTCGGGGGGTTCGTGCTAGAGCAGCAGTTATACTTTCCAGTTCTCCTGGGCGCAACAACGGCCATGCCAGCCAGAGCGTGGCTATAATTACGAGTTCGCACCGCTGTTTTGCTGCGGCTTCAACCGTGCACTCCTGCTTACAGTATCAATCGCTGCCGCGTTTGTCATCTCCTCCTGGTTTTGCGTGCGTCTGCCCGGGGTACTGACTCCATTGCCGTGTTCGTGGGTGTCCTCTTGGCAGCGCAGCAGCATCCGTCAAGAATCCTCGACTGGAGCCTTGGTTGCTTGGGAGGAGACGGTGGCACCAGCAGTGATCCCAGCCGAGATCTAAGCCAATCTAAGTTTGCGAGTTGCTTGCCAGTTTGCGAAAACTTGCAACGGAGGGACCTTCTAGAAAAAGGGCCTTGGGCCTTGGCCGTCTAGTCGAGGGAGGAGAGGCGCAGACAAGGCATCGCAGCTCATAGCAGAGGTAACTCTGCATGTTCTCTCTGAAAGTGCACCAGTGAACACTAGCTGCACCCTAGCTAGAGTAGTATAATGGTTATGAAGCAGGAGCAAGATGCAACCCTACTCAGTTCGAATTCCAAGGAACCTCGCTTCCGTGCGAAGCGTGCGCCAAGGTGCGGTAAATTAGACGCATGGAGGTGGTGTGAGACATTGGTACTTACTTGAGGCACTCTACGCTCAACTGCTTACCGTATATAGAACTCCTCAAGAAGGTTTGGCTCGCAAACCTGTAACACCTCAGCTGTGCACCAACAAACAGGGTTTCTATTTGGGGATCAGTTTGGGTTTTCCGCGTCTGCCCTGGACATGTTGGCTTGGGCTGGTACATTGAGGAACCTACACATGACTTGCAATATCTTAGTAATTAGTCAACATATCATGCCTCGAATCCACATTCCACTCGCATCTTTACTGGACACTAAACCAGGGTGTGGGTGGACATGGCATGAGGATTTCGGTTCCAGGGTCTCGGGCATCATACTCGCTATGACATCCGTACCGGCCGTACTGTGCTGCTACTAGAGGGGGGCTGCAACTCGAGCTCGAAGCCCTGGCATTGGTTGGACTTGGCAAGCTCTGAAGGGTGATTGCGCTGTGAAGTCTCGAGCGCAAGGGAGCTTTTGCTTCCAGGGTTGGATCTCAAGCGGCTAGCCGGCTAGCCTTCATAATTCCGAAATATTCCGCAGCAGAGTGCTTAGTGGTACCATTTGTGCCTTCGCGGCGATTTGCCGATCGATGTCAGAGACCCCAAGCATGTTAACGCTCATGCGGAGCTTCACAGCTAGCTGAGACCTTTGGAAAGCACCGTGAAATTTGGAGCTCCAGCAAAACATTCCAAGCTAGAACGGCTCGCAAATCGATTCCACTCTTTAAACCCTACAGTAGGTTCCACCGGCCATAGGCCCGCAGCCCATAAAAAGCAAGCTAGCCGCCAAAGCAGTCAGTGCGATGAACTTGCCCTGGAGGTGTTTGCAGCCCTCTGCCGGCGAGGAGGCCAGCTGTTCCTCCCCCCTTCTCGAGATGAGCCGCACCGACCTTTGATCCCACACGGATTGTCTGGTGTAGCCGACCAAAAATCCTCTTCAAAGCAAGGAGCACTCACAGGACGCACGTACATTTGCAAGTATGTGTGAACGTATGTGTATATGCATACACATAGATACATGCGTACTTACGTACGTACATACACACATACGTACAATATGTGAAATCTTGAGCAAGTGAAGTATTGATACTTTTATATTGGTTTTGACAAGTAGACATACGTGCACATAGCTTCCCGGGAATCTGAAGCTGTCTAGTTGCGGCTGCTCCTGCTGCTGTTGCTCCTGCTGCCGCTGCTACAGATTTTGATGCTATACCATCAAAGGCGAACTTCATGCATGTGCTAGATGTGCACGATGCTGCGTTATCGCCTCTCTTCATTATTCGTTGCTTGTACACTTGGGACATTGCGGGGCATGCTGAGTGAGCTATCGCGCGAACGAGAAGCGACTCTGCAGGCCTTGACGCCCGCAGAGCGCCGCTCACGACCTGGGGCGAGGGGACGACAGCTGCCTTTCTGGCGCTTTGGTCATATTTACGAAAGTGATAGGCTTGAGCGTCAAGGGCTTCAGATTTTGTTCCGTCCCGGTAGAGCGGATGGAATGCATGGGGCACGCCTCTTCTGAATGATATGGGTTGACCTTCCACAGGACTTCAGTCTACAAGCCGCTTCTTCAGCAGAAGCTGAGCCGTCCGACTCTTCAGCCGAGCACCAGTTCCCATGTCCTCAAGCTCCGAGCACTCGTACAGGGCTGCTTCGCCCGGGCCCCTGGAAGTAAACCCCGGAGCCCAGGCTTCAACCGATGCATTTGGCAGTGATGATAGTAACAGTGGTATAGGGCACAGAATACAATACGGCAATAACGATGTCGACAGCCGCCATAGTAACAGTGTCGCATGACACATCGCGCGGACTCAGCGCCGACACCTTTAGGAAAGCCCTGGCCCCAAATCCTAAAGCACGGATCCAACACTCCCAAGCCAATAAACCTCACAGCCCCAGCCGCCGAGAACTCAGGCGGACTTAAATGCGAGCCAAGATATACCGGTAGCCTGGAACACGGGTTTCGGCGACTCAACCAGAGATCCAAATCCTGCAAAACAGCTTGTTTCTGTGCACGACCAACGAATCCAAGCCCCCAAGCCACAAGGAAACACCACGAACACCCGAAACGGCCTTGAGCCGCAAATCCCAAAATCTCTGGAAGCATCCCAGGCACCACAGCGCTTGGTCCGGTTCCCTGCGAGCGTCTGCTGGCCGTGACCGCGCGATCCATGAGGCCCACGGTCGCTTGCCGAGGGTTGGGGGCCACAGCTTTAGGATCGAGGGGTAGGTTACACAACGACTATCACTATACCACTACGCTACACCGTTTTCTACCACGACGACGGCTACCACTGCTACTCCAACTGCTACTGCTCCTGGCACCAGAGCTAGTGTCCACAATCGAAGCGGTAGCATTGAGGGCTTACAAAGGCGAAGGATACACAAGATGGCGAGGAATAGTCCGGAGAAGTTAGCTTTGCTGGGAGTACCATGGAATCGAGCATCAGGACCGTAATAGTCGCCATGGTGTGGCTCAACTTGCAAAAATAGTACAGGAGTACTGCAGCACATCACTCCAGTTGATGCGAACATACGAGTGTGAGAACAATACTCTCAAAAGGAGGACTGGGCAAGATGAAGCTTTCAGGGGTATTTAGAGATCCAGGGCCAGGCCATTCTTGGCAGCACCCGTGTTCATGGTTCTCGGCCCTCCTAAAAAGAACAAAGCACCACGAAATATACGCTCAAAAGCTGCGCATCAACCGTAGCCAAGCTCCTTTCTGTGACTCCTGTAGCCAGGGCCGGCTCGCCAATGGCATCGAATCTACTACAGGGGCCTCAATAATTACCTATACTGTTTTGGGGGGTTCCTGATTATAATTATAGTATAGTGGGCCCAAGACCCTATTCTAATCAGTACGGCCCCCCATATTACGTAGGGGCTGCCATCTGATCTTGAGAGCTGGGGAGGTTGGATCAAGACTCCCCAGGCCCAGGCCAGGACCAGGAAGGGCTGTTTTCAAGTCACCAGAATTGCCCACAATATGTCAAATTCTTAACTAATCAACCTCTGACTGAACCTGTTTCGGAGCTGAGTGCTCCAGAATGCTTCATGCACTGGCCTGTTGGCATGCCGCGATCTGCCAGGTGCACCGGCAACACTGTGTTGACAAGCAGGACTCCGAAGCAGCGGCCATGAGCGGCCCATGACTGTCTATGTCTGACGGAGTCTGACGTCTGTCCAATGCGATTTCTTCAGCTGATCTCTACCTCTGTCTCTGTCTCTCTCTGCCCGTCATTTGCTGTCACAAGCGGTCGCGCTCTATTCGTCTCTCTCGTCGGTGTCTTTCCCTCGCTCTCTGTCTCTCTCTCTCTCTCTCTCTCTCTCTCTCTCTCTTTATCTCTCTCTCTCTCTCTCTGTGTCTCTCTGCCTGCCTATCTTCTCGCCAGCAGGCGACATCTTGCTAGAGGGCCTGCTGTCTATTTGGGTGGACGGTGTTGGAGTCTCTTCGAGTGTTGAATTCATTTCGGCTGTTGGTCGCAGGGCAGGCTTGGAGATGTTCTGATGTTTAGCAGTAAGCCGTATAGGATTTATGTTCCGGTTTTGGGCTTTTGAAGATTGGTGACAGTCTGTCTTGCATGTTATTGTGGGGACACTGGTTCTGAACCCGAGGTCGTATGAAGTTGTGGAAGCAATCGAGGATTGCCCATAAAACCATGACAGGTGCATGAGTCAGACAGAGATGACGTGTAGTTTGAGGAGTGTCACCGGCTTTCCGTCATGCTATTAGAGTTTCCTGATGCCTCTGAGTCTTCATGGAACAACTCATAACAACTCCAAAGTCAAGTGCTGGATTGTTGAGCTTTGCCGGTCTCCACAGGGCTTTCGCGAAGCTGCATGGGAACCCACGAAAAATCACCTGGCGGCTGTCCTCACAAGGTCAACACGGCGCTGGAAACTTCAGAATACACTCTGGCGGTACAGAGCCGTGCATGAGGATATACACACTCAGGAGCAAGATGGGTTAGCAACAGCATGCACGATGCTATATGAAGTAGCATTAGACGCCTCATCCCCTGAAGCTTTGTAACTTGCACGGAACCGAACAGACTAGACACACGGCCATGGACTTCCAGCATGAGTTTTCGGAGCGACTGCCCCAATTCGGGGCCACGCTGGAGCAGAATGCCGAAAGGTGTCCAGGCTGTATTCGTGAAAATATCTGAGTCTTTGGAGCATCAGGGTCAGGGTTTTTGTCCAAAGAAACGTTCTCCCTTTGAGATGTGTCATCCCGGCTGAGATTTCAGTAACTCGGCTCCAAGCCCAGGTCTGCCAAGGCGGCTGCCTGGTCCAAAGGAATCCATGTGGCTGATCCTGCTGGAACCATGCTTGGGCCTTATGCCGAAACGTGTTTTGTAGGCAGGAGGTGGTTGTAAGGAGGACCCTGCGAAGAGAAGCGAGAAGCTGAGTCAGAAAGCGACAGAATCCTTCAGTAGACCTCAAGCGACCGAACCCTTCAAGGCGGAAGAAGTCGGCAGTAGCTGTCTAGCAGACTCGTCACCTGTGAGGAAGCAGATGTTCAACACGTTCATCGGCAAGAGACTGCTTCAGCACGAGGCGCGAATCTGGCTTGCGCTCACCGAAGAGTCTTCTTGAACCAAGCTTTGCGGTAGTTTCTGAATTCCGCGAAGGCTTTGCCCTCGTAGCAGGGCCGAACAGAGCGCTGCAGCACGACCAGAGTAGAACCCCCACTTTCCCCTGGCCCCCCGGCCGGCCGAATCTTTGAAGCAGGTGGACAAGGACCAGAGAAGTACGGGCCAAGGCCAAGGGCAGTCTCAGGAGGCCAAGCAGTCGAGCGAAGGTTCCAGCTCATCGTCTTCCACCTCCAAGCGGAAGAAGCGGGAGAAAAAGAAGAAGGAGAAGAAGGAGAAGAAGGCGAAGTCCAAGAAGGGAAAGAAGGCGCCACAATGAATCGGACAGCGGGGATGGACAAATTGCGACAGAATTCAGAGTGGTTGGGTTTCACCCGCCCCGCAGGGCTTTTCTTGACTCCAGGCCAGCGGCAAGAAAGGGCAGAAGGTCCCCTAAACCCTGAGCCCCCAAATCCTAAGCCCTGAGGGCAAGAGAGGGCAGAAGGGCAGCTGTGAGAAAAAAGAAAGCGCCGAGTTCAAGGCCGGCATTACTATCACCATTTCTACAACTGTTACTCCTTGATCATTATTGGTAGTTTCGTACTATTACTACGTACTGTATTTATTACTATTGGTAGTTTAGTACTGCTACTGAAATTGCAAAGCGAGTCGTGTGGCTGTTCAGTCCGGGTCAAGCTTGCGTGGGTTGAAAGGTTGTGGGGCTGTACGTAGTTTATGAAAGCACCTGCGTGTGTGCATATGTGTATGTACACACACCATTCCATATACAACATGCATATACAACAGTAGCAGCAACAGTAACTCCAATGGTACTAATGATTGCCCTGAAGAAAGGTAGTGATACAGGGGCAGTAGTACTAACAGCCAAAAGGAAGACCAATCACAGTAGGAACAATGACAACAATAACAAGAATAGTAGCGCATCACAGTAATTACATACTTATAAATACCAAGAACAATTATATATAGATCTCTCCTTCTCTCTGTCAAACATAATGCGCTTCTTGCCTGAAGGCTGTCAATGCTTCCAACGCTAAACGCCAGCCGGGCTGCTGGAAGGCTCTCAGATTCCACCTCCAAACCCCCCTAAACCCTTTCAAACTCCCCCTCCATGACTTACACTAAACATCAAAACAGGTCTCTACATTCGGAGCACCACAATCCCGTAGCAATGCATAAGCCCTACGGCTGTATGAAACCCAGTCTATATTTCCACTACGTCGATGACATTGTTGGGCGACGACGATGGCGATTGCCACAACTGCGGCTGGTCTTTCTCCCTTGAACCCGCGGTTCTCGGCCCGCCAAACTCCCCCAAAAAATCCCTAACCATGGGGATCACTATATGACCCTTCAACATCCCATACACCCTAACAGCCCCGTAAGCAAAACAGCTTTGACGCTGAAGACCGCGCTCAGAACAGGCACGGCTGAAGCGCGAGAGAGAGGCCGGCGATGCCGAGGCTTTGGGACTTTACAAAGGAACACACGACCTCTGAATCGTTTTGGAAATATCCGCTTGTCTTGAGCCCTTATGTTTCTGTTGATATATGAACCTGTACTTTAGGTATTGCCGTTGTAATTTTAGCTTCAGTTTTTGAGGACTTTTTGGTCCAGGGGTTTCAGGGCACAGGACTTTATTCGAGTCGTAGCTGGGCTAGCAATTGGCGAAACTTACGAAATTTATCGTGCCATTTGGATTTCAGGATCTGTCGCACATCGTGCTTTGGAAGCTTGTTCAGCGGATGCAGTCATCCATCTCCATGGCCCCGTGGCACTCTCGAATGCAGGCTCAGGGGTTTATGCACAAAGCCAAACGCCAACATGGAAGACCTTCGGTAAGCTTTCAACTCTTCAATGTTTCGCTTCGACTTCCGTAACTTAACGATACTGGAGATGAGATGGATACCCACGAGAAACAGCTATATGTACAGATTTGTATGTGCCTGTGTAACATATGTAGATTTCTTCTGTCTATGCATGTGTATATACATATGTATACATGTGTGTCCTCACATGTACATATACATATGCATAGTATATCGGTATGTGTATATATATATATATATATACATATGTGGGTGGTGGACAGGCCAGCCTGGACCCCAAGTACGCGAAGATCATCGATCGCCCCTTGGCGAAACTCACGTTGCAGCCTCGGGGCGTTGTAAGACATGATCTGGGGGTGGAGAGACGATACCGAACCGACTACTGCTTGCCAGGTGCGCCGGCTAGTCGAAACGATTGCTTTGCATAAATTGTTCAGCAAAATGATGTTGTTAGTGGTGGTTCCAACGCTGAACAGGCACTAAAATTGGCTAAGCAGTACATCTGGCGAGGTTTACGATTTGCTACATAAGCTGGCAGACAGCATCCGGCAGTCACCCTTCCTGACATAGTTGCTTCAAACTACAAGTGTGCCCACACTAGCCAAGCTACTTCGCCCCGTGCGTGAAGTTTGAGAAATATTCGCGCGGAGGCTTCCGGCAGAACGTCAATCCCCTGCTGAAGAAGACAACATAGTGATGGAACCCTGCAAGGTGAGTTCGACAAGGCCGGGTCCTCTCGTGGCTTTGAGGTTCAGACTTTTAGCCTCCTATTGGCAGCTACGATGTCCTTCAACATCTTGAGCAAGAGTTTTGAACCAGGCTCACGGCGCCTGGCCTGGCTCGATCATCGTGATGACCATCCGACTTCCGCCTTTGGTGCCTATACTTTCCTTCTGCTCATCGCAAGGGCTCGTGTCCTCGAAGTACGAGGAAGAGAAGCCAAGATACCCCAGGGCAGCACGATTCTGACGGACAGGAGCTCATCCCACCATCAGGCACTTTCCGGGTTTGCAGCATCTGCGCGTTCTGGCCACACTGCCGGTTTCATCCTCGGCCGATGATCACCAGTGATCCGCTTCTCCGGTCTCTCAATGGCCGTCGCCAGTCATGGTGCAAAAGCGACACGCAAGGTCTGCCAACACGCCGGATCTTGGAAAACGGAGTTGCTTCGCATTCAGAGCACTGCAGAGCTCACAAGATTGCGTGCCGGAAGATCAATCTCACAAGTTCCTGCATGACAAAAGATTATCCGGTGCAGCAATGTGCAGTCGAACATTCAGGTTTCAAGTTCCTGCCTGTGGATTCCAGATAATTAGGAGCTCGAACTTAGACCCTAAGTGGTAGGATGTTTGTTCTACAAACACTTAAAAGCACAGGCAAATATCGCCAGTCCCTATTTTACAAAGCCCCTTCTTCATTTCCATCAGATTCTATCAGGACTCTCTCAACGGCGGCACCCGCCGGTTTATCATCGCCGAAGCGAAGGTGCTGCATTTTTTGCAGGAGTCGGTCGGTTGGGAGCGTATTTCCCGGGGAACTAGACACCCAGAGCGATGTTCCAAGGCAGCCGTGCCTGTAGCAGTTTAGCCGTTCGGGTACCCACCCAAATTGAAATGAGTGCCGTTTGACGAAACACTTGGGAAAGTTTTCTTAGCGAGAGGAGACGAGAAGCAGCGGCCGACGACACATCCCTTGCTTGAGCTTACAACTTTCGGGTCTCAGCATGTTTCGACCCCCTATTCCGACTGGACTTGCCGGAAAGGTGCCCGAGAGCTCGATGCAGCAGGCGATCTGCGTGCAAGGGAGCGAATGAATTATGCCGAATGCGTGCCTGCCCAGCAGCACTGTCGTGTTCATGCTTGTATCTGTCGTTTAGAGATGTCTAGATCAGCAGCAGACAAAAGAATCTACCGCCGTGGGCTCAGGTGCGGACGCTCCGACTGCAGGCGCTGGGTTTCAGGGGCCGCAATAACCGAACCTTTTGCTTTCACACCACGGCAGGGGAAGGGTGTGTAGATTGTCTCCAGGTGATCACAGAGCCCCTTAAGGCTCATACCCCAGAGCCCTAAACCGCCAGCACAACAACAGACCGTGCTTCACCCACTGCATTGCTCGGCCCCAACCCTGACTTTCCGTGAGCTGGGCGAGGCACCCAGCAGTTCGGGAAGCAGCAGCACCAACACCGACAAGGGAGTGCAGCCGTGCACTGAGCAGAGCTGCCTTAATATATGGACGCTGAGAGAATCAGACTTGGAAGAACAATTCGGGTGGCTGTTTCGCGTCTTCAGGCTCGGAGGAGGAATAATTTGGGAGTCACATGTACTAATTGCACCACTTCGCTGGTGCCATACTCATTGTTCCCATGTCGGGTAGGGTCTATGCTGCTTAGGTCTCCACGATGCTGGTTCGTGTGCGATTAGTACATCACGAACGTATGGAGTAGATGTTCGAGGACATGATTGACACAGCTGCTACTCGAGGTCTGGTACTTGACCTGAACTTAGATTTCACCCCGAGGAGCACAGGCAAAGGCTGCAGACTGGGCACGGTCCGACACTTCGGTTCTCAGCGGCTTTGTCCAAGAGCACGAAGATCCGAAGCTCACGCATGTCTCAAGCTGAGCCCCAAACCCCAGCCCTAAGTCCAAACAACGCTCACAAGATTGGAACACAGCTCTGGGCTCGTGGCATCCCGCCGAAAATGCCTCAGGACACCAATCAGAAATATCGCTACACTAGTCACTAGACCCGATAAGAAGCTTACTCCACACAGCCTCAGTGAGAAGATGTAAACACCTGACCCTCATTATTCTTGCACTTGATCGGCGATGGCCAGAAGGCTACATGCTGAGGTTGGACGCTCCCGCCGAAGGCGGGTCTTGGCTACAACGGCTGAGTGCGATGGAGTCTGGACTGTTTTCGTGCGATTGTTTAGTCTTTGTTATACTATACATGTTCTCGACCTGTACACGTTGTCAAAGAGTCTTCAATGAACAGCTATGCTTTCAAAGAGTCTTCAATGAACACCTACGCTAAGGAGTTGGGAAAAGCATCTCCATCCACTACGAAGCCAAGACGGGAGGCACGGCAGGCTGGGATGAAGCAGCGTGGGCCATTTTGCAAATGCTCGAAGAGCGCAATGTTCGCAAGGGACAGTTATTGTCCATCGATGCCCACAGTGAAAACGGCCTTCCCATCATGTCAGCGCACTACGCTGCAGACTTGCGGGACGATGGCCCCCTGAAATTGTGTTTTTTTGGCAGGGCAGCGATCACGGATTCATGGGACCAGATCTATCGCACAGCATGCGACGAAGCAAGGGGCAAAGACATCATCTCGATGACGGGGTCTTGCGAAGCGGGTGGCACTTCAGCATTTTATGTTTTCTACGATGCAGAGATTATGCGGGACCAGGACAAGATTGAGTATGCTGAATGCAGTGCTGACTCATGGAACGCTGCTGCGCAGGGTCTCATCAAAATGCTATCCAGCAAGGGAGTGAAAGAAGGACAAGTAATCAATATCGATGCTCACAACAACGGGCCAAATGAGGCAGCCATGTTCGCAGCTTTCTTTTGCCGAACTCGGCCTGCCAAAGGAAACTTGAATTTGGTTTTCTGGCACCAGAATGACGACATTCCTTGGGAGAAGATCTATGAAGGTGTAACCAAGTCTGTCGAGGCAGTTCAGAAGGAGCAGCTCCTGGGCATCACAGGGTCCTGCAACATGCACAGGCGGGTGATGTACGCGTTCTGGCAGGTCTCGGCACAGACAAGTACAATTCAATATGTGGAATCCCGCGCCGGCTCATGGGATGGTGCTGCTGATGGCCTTATCAAGAAGTTGAACGAAGCAGGCGTTCGTCAAGGTCAAGTGTTGAGTATTGATGCCCACAACAGCGGCGAAAACGAGCTTGCCATTTTCTCGGCACACTACCTGAAGAGTCTGGAGGATCGTGGTGAGCTTGACATTGGGTACACCGCTCAAAATAGCTCCAGCGGTTGGGAGACATTTTACACGGAAGCCTCAAAGCATGCAGAGGGCAAGGACGTGATTTCAATGACTGGGAGTATTAACACATCTGACCGATCGATTTTCTACGTCTTCTTCAACAAGGGTACTGAAGATGCAGGAGTTGAGAACGTGGAACATGTTGAGAGTCGAGCGGGGTCCTGGAATGGGGCAGCTGATGGCATCATAAAGAAGCTCAGGGAGCACGAAGTGCAGTCAGGCGGGGGAGCTCCCCACTTATATAGACTTGCACCTTAAATCCAGGTTTGCTTTGTCACACCGTCTACTTGAGGCTCCATTGGGGGACTCTTTTCGAGGATTCCTCCAAGGTGGGGGTGGGGAGCCCCACTACTTCGTCCAGACCTCGATCCGTACCAAGTAGTCAAAGTGCCACAGAGAGTGGTGAATCCCCAACCTCGTTCCGAAAACAGAAGCACTCAAGCCTCCACTTCACCGTTGGCGGCAGCACAAGTGTGTGTAAACATGTCCATCGGAGCTCTTCACGCTTCAGGCCAGATTCTAAGCATCGATGCCCACAACAACGGTCGGAACGAGGCTGCCATCTTTTCCGCGCACTACTCCAAGACTTTGCCAGGGTTTGGAAAGCCAAGGCTGAGGTGCGAGTTCGGAGCTTCGGGCTTTGGGATAGATGGGATGTGGGATAGGGAGCCCCGGGCCGCCTGCCGGTTTCCCTGAGGTTCCGGTGCCAGAACACAGCAGCAAGTTGGGACCACCAGTACCACACAGCTTGCTGGCAGCTGGCCAACATCCGAAGCGCTCCGGATCAGTTCGTGAGCCTGACGGCGTGTTGCAATGCAGGTGATCGTTCTGTGACCTACGTCTTCACAGACCATGCAATCTCAAACGGTTGTCGAAATCCCGATAGCCTTGAGGATTCGGAGTGGTTTGAGCACCGAGCGAGCTCGTGGAATGCTGCGGCCGACGGAATCATAGCAAGGTTGCTGGAGGAAGACGTTGGCAAAGGACAGGTCCTGAGCATCGATGCTCACAACAACGGGGAAAACCAGGCAGCTATCTTCTCTGCACATGTTTGCCGGAACTTGCCTAGCAAAGGCACCCTTAACATCGGGTACGTGGCGCAGAACAGCGGTAAGACATTCACGGAGTTCTACGAGCAAGCTTGCACGGATGCCAATGGAAAAGACATTGTGTCCATGACTGGCAGTTGCAACACCGACGACAGAGCCGTCTTCTATGTTTTCTTCAACAAGGACAGCCCCTCTGACTTGGACGGGGTGGAGTTTGTGGAGGCAAGTCATAAGACGTGGTCGGGCGCAGCACGCCAGATTGTGGAAGCGATGGAGGAGCAAGGGGTTCAGTCCGGTCAGATCTTGAGCATTAATGCCATGGTGGAACAAGCAAGTGGTGGGACCCCGACATTTTCCGCGCATTACAGCAAGAAGCTGCAGGCCAAAGGTAAGCTGCGTCTGCGCTGGGCTGATTTGAATTCAGAAGCGCCTTGGGCCCATTTCTATGACAACGCCACGGAAACCCTCGCTGGGCTTCGGCAGAAACAGTTCCTCTCCTGCACCGCTTCGGTGAGCTCGCCGAACTCCTCAGTCATGTACGTTTGGTACCAAGATTCGAAATCTGGGAGCTACGAGAGCGATGCTCCGTTAAAAAGCTGGAGTCTTGAGGGTGTGTGGCAGCTTCAAGCCAAATCCGGCAAAACCTCCTTCATTGACCTCAGCGACCCTACGAACATCACGCTGCTCGGGGAGGGCGTCAGTGGTTCTTGGTACGATGGCCAGCTGGATTTCTCTACCAAGCATCCGAGATTCGAGGCTAAGTGGGAAGTCACTCCGGACGGATCTGCCGCGCGTTCTGGAAAGGTGCACCCCTTATTGGCAGCTGTTTTGGGCAGTTGTTGGCTCCCTCGCCCGCTTCTGTCGGCTGTGTTAGCCCCGTAACAAGTTGCCGCCTTGTGCTACCTGCAAAGTCCCCGAGCACATGTGTACATTTACATATGATATATATATATATATATATATATATATTTGTATACCTATACTATTCATGTATTTAGTGATGGTTATGCCTATGTATTCATACATACATGTAGAGGGCACAGACACATGCACAGCCACACACTAATAGCTTTTTGCATACATAAAGGGACACAGTACATCCTCAGACACGTAGCCACTGTACCATGCAGTCTCGTGGAAGAGCAGTACATGAACAAAGCGGCAGCATTTGTCGACAAGTTGACTAAACATGTAAATTTGAACACGAACTCGAGTCGTCGGCTGTGTAACATGTACGTTTTCGACTACCTACATAATTTGATTGCAGTCTTTCGCACCAAGCAGCAAGCCTCAACAAGCACACCTGGGATGTTAGAGTGGCGATCAACAATGAATTGTTAAACTTCAAGCGTTTACAGTAGCTAGGTGCGAAAATCAACTGAGGTGCAGGGTTGCTTCAGCGGTCCCAAGCGCTTTTCGTATACCTCGACGCCTGCAATCATGGATGAGAGCTCTCTCGGAGCTGGCTTTGGCCTGAAGATCCTGAACCCAGCTTCTGTGGATGAGAACTCTGCGAAAAGCATTGACTTGAAGGAGCTTGTTCCTAAACCTCGGGTTATCTCTGGTCTGCTTTCCGATGATAAAGATAGTTCCTGTTACAATCCATCAGCCTGGAGGAGTTGCAAGAACTGGGTCCGGGCTGCATGCCTGAGGACCCGACCTACTGGGCCATTTCCCTGCGACAGCTCCAGCACCTCCGGGCGTTAATGCGGCAAGAGGGCTTTTTCGCTGGGTACGAGCGCGTGGTGCGTTTCGAGTCTGGTACTATGAACCTGGAGGTTGACGAGAACCATATTGTCAACCATGTCGGAGACGCGGCCAAAGCGCTGGGTGTCCAAGCTGGGTGGACAGCATATGGCATCGATTACGATCTCTTCTCCGAGGCTCACCTCATTGAACGGAGTGCAGACGGGAAAAGCCACATGATGTTTTTCCGCGACACCAAGGGCACTTTTGATGCTAACATGTATCAAGTCAACTTGTCCTATGTCAAGCGTTTGACCAAAGATCTGGACATGAGCCTGGCATTACTTTACAACCGCAAGGTAGGCGGGCGCAAGGCCACAGTCTTCATATCTCATGCATGGGCCGAGAGTTTTCTTTACTTCTTGGCTGTGTTGGAGACGGGCATTGGTACTCAGCAACCGCTTTCTCTCGATGATTACGCGTGGATTTGCACCTTCGGCGTGAACCAGAACATGACAGCTGAAGACATCTCGGGAGCAATCGCTAGCCCTGCAGACAGTCCTTTTGCTCGAGTGCTTCAGTCAGTTAGCGAGGTAGCTGTTATTTTCAACGACCGTGTGAATCTGTATTCACGTGTATGGTGCGTGTTCGAGGCCTTCGTAGCGCTGGAGCAAGGTAAGCTGGTCCGCTGTCTTGGCTTGCCGCCTAATTGGAGAGATGCAGTTACTGGGATCTTGGTGAGCCCAGAGCACGAGTGGGTGCAAAGGATTACGGGTTTCTGTGAGAGGCACAAGATGAACGTGTTGGATGCCACGGCCAGCGTGCTTGAGGACAAAATAGCAATCTTGGAAGCACTGCAGGGACAAGAAGATCAGGTCAACGACCGAACCAACTGCCTGCAAGAGTGGGCTCTGAAAGATATCATCGTGGGTGAATTCAGTGGGCTGATGGATCGAGTAGGCACATCTGGTGACGAGGATCTACCTGCAGCTTGAGTTTTGTTCGCCACTTCTCGAGCATCGTTCAGCGACGCCCCAAGTGTCATCTCCAAGGGATGTGCGTTTTGGGGTGTCAGTAGACAGGAACTCTACACGGCCAGGATTTGAGCAGGGCCTCTGCGGCAAAAAGCTCCGTTCCGACTGCCGTGGCGCTTTGAAGGAGAAGGGTGATCGTGGAAATGTGGCACTGGGCTTTACTACTGAGTCTTCCCTGAAGTAGAGATACCTCTAGAAATACACAGAAGGTTAGTCCTATGCCGATGCACGAACGTGAATCCCTGAGTCTCCAGGTTGTAGCCCTAAACGCAAACCTTCGACTTCGATGGGCTCAGGTTTCACAACGGCAAGGACCGTCTAGCGAAGTCTTGCCTGAAGCCATGGAGGTCGTCAGGATCCTAGCTGGGCAGTGGCTTTCGGGATGTTGGGTTTGTGGAATGGCCCTCCATCCAAAGATTTCGGGCTGCAGGGCTTCAGGGCTGATGGAATGGCTCTTAAGGCTTCCTGTCATACAGAGTACGTCATACCGTAGTCATGGTCATGTCCCCTCCACCTCTCACCCACAGCAAGGCCGTTGGAAGCCTTGATGGGCAAGAGTTTCGTCTTTCCCGCTGGGCGGCATGGCCTCTCGGAAGCAGGTCGGCTTATGACTACCAGAATACTACATCTTAAACATGTCGGACTAGATAAAAAGTTTGGCAGCTGAGCTCGAGGAATGTTGCAAGGCTAAGAGCTCTGAGTTTCGTGTCGGATTGGAGCTGCAGTGTTCAAGACTTGCAGCTTGGGCTTGACTCACAAGTCGAAAACGGGCAACGGGGTTCTCAGGTCCGGGGTGCTACAGAGAGTTTTGCAACCATGGCGCCCAGGCAGTCGAATGTCGGATGTTATGGCAGTGCCGGGCTCAGCCGACGGCGAAAGCTGTTGTGCGAGTGCTCGCGTTCGTGTATGCGCTGGCACCGGGGTCCGCCATGCTCCGCTTATCTTTGGGGCTGGGCCGCATGTTATCTTGGAGAGTAGAGGGCTTTCGGTTTCGCGGGTTTCGCTGCACCGTTGCTGGGAACGGAGGTTCATAACGAAGCAGGTGCAGCTCCGCAGCATGCTGCAATCTGGCTCGACAGGTGGCAAAACACATGATGTAAGGTTTCACGCATGGATCGAACCTAACCAGCAGCAAGTTGGTCCACCATGCATGGCTTCAACATTGACTAAGTTGGTTGTCTGCACATGTAAATACTAGCTCAAACATGCCTCCGTGGGCGACCACAGTGCAAAGAGAGTCCAGGGTTGGAAGTTGCATGGGATCCTCCCAAACCATCATCAACCCTAACCCCAGTCTCGTAATCTGGAGCTTGTGTCGAAGCATGGGCTGCATATGCAGCAAGACTCCAGCACAGCTGGAAACGGTGTCCGGACATCGAGCCTGTGAACCCCGCACGCGAGGGGTGGAAGAGCCGCGGAACCTACTCAGCCAAAGAGCTGGGACGCAGGCACTTCGTGAACTTCTTGGTTTTCAAGAGGAGAGAACTGCCGAGGACGGCGCGAAATCTTCTATCATTCTACGCTCAGAAAGCGGTCGCAGCACTTCCTGTGCACCAGGCCGACAAGGAAATGTGCTTGATGTAGAGAAATGTGCGGTGTCTCAGACAGACGGCTGTTGGCTGTCCCCACTTTGCTGTTGGACACATGGCCGTAGCTGGGAAGAGGAGGTAGCGCAGACGAGCGACGAGTTGAAGCGCAAGCTCCGCGATCCACATTTCGTGGCTCAGCGTTGCGATCTGGATGGCTCCGGAGACCTGGACATGCACGAGCTCAAGCAGGCAACACGCGCTTTTGGCTTGAGACTTCCGCCACGAAAGCTGGAAGGGGGTCATGCCCCAGCGGATCAGCAAGCATGAATTTGCCGACATGATATGTAAATATGGCGATTGCGTGTCGGAGTCGTACAAAACAGTTCCGCACTCCTTGAGGGGCATGGCCCTGGGACAGCTGGAACATCTCGAAGCTTTGTTTGTACAGTCGGGTTGGCTGGCCACGCAGTGCGACACCTTCAACGAGGAGAACGCACAAGGCATCCAAGAGAACAGGATTTACCGGCAAGCCTGCAACCTGTATGCGTTGAACACTTTTGTGGTCACGCCAATGTCCAAGCCAGGGACCTGTGCAGCCCGTGAGCAGGATCCCAACCAGACAGTGCCGCAGGCCCATAAGGAGACTTCTTTTTCAGAGTTGGTGAACACGAATGGCCTCTTCATCCATTGCTTCATGTCACATTACTGGGGCCATCTCTTCAGCAAGTCTCTTGCAGCCTTGAAGCTGTGGGCAGAGCTGAATTTCCGGAATCTGCGTACTTCATGCCCGGAGTCTCTGGTGTTTTGGATCTGCCTTTTCGCTTTGAACCAACATGACACGGCCGAAGAGGTTGGAGAAAACCCCATGCAAGGGCCGTTCAATGCAGCACTGGCACATGCAGAAGGTGGTGCAGTCATGGTGCTCGACGAGGAGATCAACCCCTTCAAACGAACCCCTGCACCCGTTAAGCACGTTTTGCTCGATTTCTGCACACTTGGTTTAGCTAGGGCGCTCACCGGTTGCGCGGCAGTTGCTTGCTGTGAATTGGAGCCGCAAGCTCGGAGGAATATGGTGTCTTTTTGAGATCTCGCGTCTCAAAGAGCTGAAACGACCGTTCGAGCTGATTTGCGAGATGGGCTCTTTGTCTCGGCCGGAGACCCTGGGGCTGTGGAATAGAGCGGCAATGGGACAAACACTTCAAGCTGCGAGCGAGGCATTGGCTCAGATGTCGGCAAGCAAAGCAGAAGCTTCGATGGAGCAGGATAAATTTCGTATCTGGCGGCAGATTGCTGACCCCGATTTCACCAAGGCCATCGACGGGCTTGGCTGCAGCCGGTTTTTTCAACGGCAAGAAGAAGCACATCATGAACAGGCCGCGAACAGCCACTATTTCCGACAGTTTGACCTATATGTCCGATCCCTGCTTTCAACTAGTCTGCTGCAGCTCCACTGGCAGCGCAGAAACTACGCAGCAGCTGCACAATGCCTCGCTCGCGGAGCGCACTTCACCGAGGAGCAGCTGCGGCAAATTTGGAGGGCAAGCTCAGATGGCGAGAATGAGACCAGATGGTTGCAGAAATCGCTTCGGATCTGCGCGGAAGATGGACGCACGGATGAAGTTCGGCTTCTGCTAGCAATTCGTGCGGATGTGACAGCGGCAACCAGGGACGGGTGGACCGCACTGATGGCTGCCGCACAGGGTGGCCATGTGATTTCAGCACAGCTCTTGTTGGCTGGTGGTGCCGACGTTTCCGCCACAACCATCTATGGCTGCACTGCTTTACTGCTTGCTGCGCAAGGAGGCCATGAGGTCATGGTAAAGCTACTCTTGGCGCATGGTTCGCCAATGTCAGAGACAGCGTGTACTTTCAAATATGGCACTGCTCTCATGATCGCTTCCCAGTGGGGTCACGAAGCTGCAGCCAAGCTGATCTTGGAACGCCAAGCTGACATTGAAGCCACAAGCAGCGGTGGATGCACGGCGTTGATGCTTGTTGCTCAAAATGGCCACAAGGCCATAGCACAACTGTTGTTAGAGAGCGGTGCAGATGTGGCTGCGACCACTAGCGATGGGTGGACAGTAACTGGCAATGGGCGCACTGCAGCAACACTTGCACATCAAGATGGTCATTTCACCCTGGCAAGGCTGCTGGGACATTGCAGCAGCAGCCCAGTTCCGAAGATTCCGAGGATGGCGATTTCGACCATTGCACTCGAGTTGGACAGCAGCCCTGGGCCCTGAGAATATTCAGGAAAACAGTGTGCTGCGCTCTCGTGGAATTGCTGTGTCGCACGGTTGTCCTATGATGGACAGGGTTCTGGGCTGTGTGGTTCGTGCTTTGTCCGCCAAGGCCAGCACCCACAAAGGTCAGCTTCTCAGCAGCTGTCCGGGCACGTGCGCCGGCTTCGAAGCTGAATTCGAGTGCAATTGGAGTGGGCTGCGGCATGAGGGCACAGAGTTGCTAGGCACCCTGAAAGCCTTGAGCCCCGCCGCACTCCTTCCTGCATCCTGCCTGAGGCAGCAAAGCCACTGATAAACCGACCGAGCTGCACTCTACAGCAGCAGAGCAGGCGTTTTGTCAGAGTCTCGCAGTACGAGCAGCTTCGTGTTGTGCCTTGAACACCTGAAATGCATCGGCCCTCATTGTAGAGATGACGGCCGAAATGGTTACTGGAGAGTTAACGCTATCGAACTTTGCATGTCATGTCGGTTGTCCGCAGGGTCAGGACAGCACAGTATTCAAAGGTTTGGGTCCGAGCTTCCCCCTGGCGTAGAGTTGAATGGTCTGACCTTGACTTGCCCATGTCAATGTAGACGCCCACCCCCCCGAGCAAAGCGCACAGGTGGATCATGAAGCGACGTCCCACTCGGCGTGGGAGGCCATCAAAAGGACTCATGGCTTCATGATGCCCGGGCCTCAGAGCCTTTCCTGCACCTGTAGTTTCGGCGGGCCAAGCGTTCCACCTATCGGCGGGCCAAGTGCACCACCCGACCAGGACGTGGGGTCAAACCTGGCGATTGCAAATAAACCTGTATGGTCCTTCATGCCCCTGTCCCGCATCGTACCTTCGGGCGAAATGCCCCTCACCAGAAGTGTCCGTGGTTTGGTTTAGCTGTGTTGGATTCCCAATGCTGTCCGGAGTGTCTGCCACGCAACTTCGGAGAGCTGTTTATCGTGCTCTGAAAAAGTTTTGTAACGTTTGAAGAAGGGACAGAAGAAGAAGTCTCCGGTGCGATTGAACTATCGACAATGCTTGCTGACCTTCCCCAGTTGCCTTGCAATCTCTACTTGGGAGCCCTCCCTTGCTCAAGTTCCAATGTGTTTTGCCCTGCTTCGGTTTTTGCCCAAGGTTGTGCCAGCAGCGGCTGTAATCAGCACGATGGTTGGGAGCTGACGATAAGCGCAGCTTGTGTGTGTGAGTATCTAAAATACGGAGATATACAGCGGTTCAGATATAAACAACTGCCCGTTTTCAGTCTATCTATCGATCGAAGAAATGACATGCGTTAGGTTACGAAGATTCGATATTTCCCAAATTCTGAAGTACCTCTATGAAATCTTGCCAGGGGATTATTGGGCGTAGATCGCTATTTGGCGCCTCCGATATTTTCAATAACTACCATATTATTTCTGTAATGGCCTAAATTGCCCGCATAATATTTACTCATAAATATATTCTTTAATTATATCGTAATTCGTAATTTAATTC